ACTTGCTTCTGGATAGATGTGTGGGACAGAGGGCTCGTGGTACCTGCTGCCCACCCTTCCTCCTCTACTTTGAGAACCGTGTGAACGGAGAGTGGGCAGAAGAGAAGGAGGTCCTCATATGGAGTCACACACAACCTTGAGCAGTGCGGGAGACTATGGAATGGGTCGAGTAAACTCCCCTGGGGTCGGAAAAATAACAGACGAAGCTTTACTTAGATAGGGCTTTGATTGTCTTTTTTCTTAGTGATTGGAAAGGAGGGCGCCTGGGTATGTTATAGAAAGGGAAGGCGGAGGCATCGAATAGCGAAGAGAGGCGGCTCGGCAGGGAAGGAATGGGAAATTGTCAAGGATGACTTCTTTGTTTTCGAAACGAAGGGCGCCAAAGGCTAAATCTCTGAGCAGGTCTGGATTTCCAACGCCTCGGGAAACTGGTCGAGATAGATGACAGCACTTTTATCCCCTCTTCCTTACCGGGAGGGCAATCTTCTCTTATGGCCTTCACCTCCCGCCCGACCCGAAAATAGAGAGAACCGAACCCCCTTCTGATCCATTCATTTCTGCAAGTAGGGAGGATCCAGAGCTAAGCCCCTCCCATTCGAGGCCGGGTGGCCTCGCCCCACAAGCACCCAACCTTCCTTTTGCTCTTCCTTCGGTTTGCCTCCACGAACGCGCCACCTAGGAGCCCTACTCATATTCCAAAGGCGACCAGCTTTCAATACTAGTTGTTACCTTACGCTGCCATTTTTCCAATATTATTGAATAGCATGGACTGGGGCTAAGATAACTCAAATGGGAGAGCCGTGTTATGGGTGACTTTATTGCCCGGTTCAGAGAGCACTTGTGTATGTGATGCAAGTGAACGTGTACGAAAAAGCTGTCGTAAAGTTTCGTTGTTCGTTCCGTCGTTGACCCTATCTATGTTTCTATGATGGCCCAAGAACACGCTCATTCTTCAGCCGTAGAGAGACTTTTGAATTGCGAGGTACCATTACGAGCTCAATATATACGAGTGTTATTCCGTGAAATAACTCGAATTTCAAATCATTCACTTGCTTTAACTACTCATGCTATGGATGTGGGAGCATCAACTCCGTTCCTGTGGGCTTTTGAGGAGCGGGAGAAATTGTTGGAATTCTATGAAAGAGTCTCGGGAGCCAGGATGCATGCCAGTTTCATACGACCAGGTGGAGTGGCACAAGATCTGCCTCTTGGCTTATGTCGAGATATTGATTCCTTCACACAACAATTTTCTTCTCGTATCGACGAATTAGAAGAGATGTCAACCGGCAACCGTATCTGGAAACAACGATTAGTGGATATTGGTACTGTCACTGCACAGCAAGCAAAGGATTGGGGATTCAGTGGTGTAATGTTAAGAGGTTCAGGGGTATGCTGGGATTTGCGAAGAGCAGCACCTTACGATGTTCATGACCAATTGGATCCTGACGTACCAGTAGGTACCAGAGGAGATCGCTATGATCGTTACTGTATTCGTATCGAAGAGATGCGACAAAGTGTTCGGATCATTGTGCAATGTCTTAATCAAATGCCTAGTGGCATGATCAAAGCCGATGATCGTAAGCTATGTCCTCCATCACGATGTCGAATGAAACTATCCATGGAATCGTGCGCCGTGTGAAACGTAGATCATCGCCGTTCTTAACCGAGACTCAGGTTAAGCTCCGTCTCGGAACCTTGTGGGGTTAGGAGTAAAGCATCCCGAGGTTGGCGCATCTCGTTGAGCGTGGAGAAGCATTGGGAACCCCAATTTCTTTCTTCGGAGCCGTTTCTTTTCCCGTCCCCCCGCCCCGGCATAGCGCTTCGCTTCCGGTTCTTCGGAAGAATCCACTTACGTCTCCCTTCTTCATTGATCTGGGGGAAAAGGAAACGTCTATCAGTTGGGAAGCTAGACATCAAGTAAGTGGCTTGATGAGGATAACTAAGCTGACACGCCGGAGTTGGCTGCTGGCACAAGAGGGTGGTGCCTTACCGCACCGCAGGCGGACGCGCGGTAGCGTTCGTGGTGGTGCTTCAGGATTCCAATGTACTGCGTCCAAGATCAGAACGAGCTTGCCGGCGGACCACTGCCGTCCCATTCTTGAGTGAGCTGGAGCGCAGCCATCTTATCCACTGAACTAGCTAGAAGCTATCGCTTCGGGTCGAAGCATTAAAAGAAAAGGATCGGAAAACGCGGCGGCATAGGAACCACGGGACCCCTATTAGTAAAGGGAAAACGTAAGTGCGCTCCTGCGCACCAGCTGAAAAAGCCCTTTCCCTTTTTAATCAAAAATGAAATGTTGGTAAGCTTCATAGCTCCAACCTAGTAAAGGGGCTTTGATGCCCTTTGTATAGGTTGGGTTGCTGGATACGGGATCCTCGTAGTAGGCTGGACCAACATCCATCCGAGAGAGGGCAGTCTTTAGAAACAACAGGGTGTACGTATCCCAGGTGAGCCAAGAGGTGAAGAGTGGGAGTAGATCAGAGAACGCTTCGCCTTTTCTATAGAAGGAGTCAACTGAGTTCTGAACGAATTAGCTCCTTGGTAATGGCTCAATCTATAGATAGAAAGCCCTATGATGGGAAACTACCACGTTAGGTTTGGAGAGAGATGGGACCGGTTATATAATAGAGGGAGCAGATGCAAGCTTTTTCTTTCAATAGCCGGCCAAATGACTACAGGATCATCGGTCTACTCTACCTCAATTCACCATTTCGAACCTTATACAGAAGGTTTTTCCGTACCAGCTTCTTCTACCTATACCGCAGTTGAAGCACCTAAAGGAGAATTTGGTGTCTTTCTGGTCAGTAATGGAAGCAATCGTCCCTACCGTCGTAAAATAAGAGCACCTGGCTTTGCCCATTCACAAGGACTTGATTCTATGTCCAAACATCACATGCCAGCAGATGTGGTCACCATCATAGGTACTCAAGATATTGTGTCTGGAGAGGTGGATAGATAGGACTAGTACTTTATCGATCAGGACCCTAGCTTTATTGCGAGCCAAAAACAAAGATGGATTCCCCTTCCCCTTCTATCTTCAGTACTAGAGATTAACGAATTCCATACGCCCGAAATTGAGATCGAAGCATTTTTTTTGTCTTGGAATTTCATGAAGGCGGAGCCAAAACGAGAACGAGTTCAGTCGAACAGCATATATAGTAAATAGAAGTGGAAGAGCCTTTCCTTTCGTTTTAAACAACTCTAAATGAAAGGAGCCACCACAGCTATATGCACAATGATTTTATTTTGGTTTGATTTTCTGCAGCTGAAAGCAAGGGTGGTCGTAGATCAGCTGAAGGTGCCAGGTTCCTGCAGGAGAGGACTCTAACTCATGCCAATGGAAGCAGTTTCAAGGGATGAACATGCCCATCTGCCTTTCTGACCTGCAGACTTGGTAAGATTGGATGTGAAAATGGACTAAGGCTTCATCCACTTATTATTTCGCTCCATCCGTCTTATTTCACTCACAGATTTATGACGGTTGCTTATCATATTAGTGACTTATGATCTTGTAGGTTAGGATTTTAGGAAAAGAGTGGAATCGCTTTTCTTTGATACTATTTTCTTTTTATTGTTGCGGCTTCTGCTTGTTCATGCTAAACTTTTCTAACACTCTTACTAGCCCAATGGGCAAAGCCTATTTTTATGAGTTCTTGTCTTTCTCTCACCACCCCTTGGTCGCCAATCTTGTCATTTCCTATGACAAAGCAGTATGGTATGGAATTTCCCCTATCTCACCTTTTAGGTGCTACTAAAAAAACGATAAGCTTTGCAAAGAAACAAATATCCACAGGAAGTAAGAACGAGAAAGTTCTCAACTTTTCAAAAAAGTTCTGTCCCACGCGAATCAACACTTTTCTTCGCCTTACCGCGGCCTCTTTGAATCACACCTAAAGGCGGAATGGGATTGAGAAGGAGATCTAGTAGGTGAATGCGTCCGGTGACATCGCTAGCCTTTGTTTGAAGGGCGGGGAAATAGAATAGATAAAGGAAAAGGGCAAGGTTCTAGCCCGTTGAAGTAAGAGTATGAAAGGGAACAGCTGGGTCCCCCTCTACGCTTACCAACTACCAACGCCTGCCGACTATTAGCCAGGAGTGGAAAGAAAGGAACTATCGGCACGGCATACAACGAAGGAACTAACTAACGGCCTAGTAACCGCCGCGGAAGGGAATGAGGATGAAGACGGATTCCCAGAAAAGCCAGCCCTGATAGTTACCGCACGCTGCCCATACGAGTTGTACGTCCGGTTGAAGTGCGCCTTACCGAAAGAAGGAATAAGCGGTTCAAGAGTAAGCCAAGTCCGATCGATCTTAAAGCTACGAGTTCAGGGTAAAGAAGTAGGTTCGAAGTTCCTAGCCCGGCTTGAAGCCAAGTTGAATTCTTTAACTGCTACATCAATTCCTTACGATAGACCCGATGAAAGGTTCGCTAAAACTACCACCGGTTACTGTAACAGAACTAGTTGGCTCTGGCCGGCTTAGCGAAATAGTATCCTGGACTGCTTCCCAAACTTCTTTTCTGGGTCTTCTTTGGATAGCAGTTCTGCTTCAACTCCTTACTCCACCACTTCCCAGCTAAAACGAGCCTTCTTATCATCTACGACTCTAACCCGCCACTCCTTCCGATGAACCCTAAGCCGACTATTCACTCCTCCCGTCCCGTATTCCCGCAAGCAACTTAGATTCGCTCGGATAGGCAAAGATTGATTTAAAGTAGACTATACCGCGATGATAAATATTGGCCAGCCGGAAACGGAACAAATGCTGCTGCTCCTTCTGAGTTCGCATGACTTCGCTCTCGTTTTGTTGTTCTTCACTACTCGCACAGCCTTCTGTTTTGAGGGAATCATTTCATTAACGGTGAAAATAGTCTAATGAGCATCTGTTCACGTTCGTAGTTGCAATAAATTTTATTTTTTTCATCGTCATCAATATATTTACAAAAATGCCTTCGATGTAGCATAATCAATCCTCTTTTTCTTTTCTTTGCTGATTCCTCTCAATGAAATTTGCCATGTTGCACTAAGTTACTTACGGATGTATGCATGCAGTCCGGGAACACTTTGGGGTGAACACCCATCCAAACAAGTAGGGTCAATAGTTCAGCATTTAGGCAGTCACATTTACCAACAAATCTTTCACACAACAAGTGCTCTCCGAACCAAGCTAGATAGTCTCCTATCACTAGGCTCACCAACCAACCTGGACTTTTTTTTTATTCCTGCCGGATATCAAAACAAACCATAAGGGTTGTTTCCAGCCATGAGTTCCCCTATAACATAAGCGCTCTTGGGTGGAGTGGGCCAAATAGAGAATGAAATGCATAAAAGAAATAGGGGAAGGGTTCCACTTTTTTTTGGTTTAAGGGCTGCTCGCCCTACCGAAGTACCAAAGGCTTTCGGGGCTTACACCTACCTTATTAGACAACCTAAAAAAGGGCTTTCAGTAGCGCCCAACGAATCTAAGCCTTTTGAAGCGCCAGTAGTTGTAACTGTGGGTAGGGCTTTCGTTCTTATCGCTCCGGATTCCGATCTATATGACCTCCGGGTGGTACAAAGTAAACCTCTTCCGTAGAAGCAGGTAGTAACCTAACCTTTAAGAATTTGTTCAAGGGGGGCCTCTTATCTATCAATGGAAAAATCTCCATGTGTCGCGTGATAAGGAATCCTAGAAAAGACCGATTGAGACTCCCTCCACGGTCCCACGTAGATCTCTACGTACTTGTTCCAGTCCAGGACAAGTGAGATCTTCCGGTCTGCGTGCGTGGGAGCAGCTCAAACAAAGAAGAGTCTGGTTCCGGTCTGAATTCAGGCACGGCCCGCCCGTCTGCTACTAGGTCCGGGAATGGCGCCAGGCGAGGTCGCCGCTATGCCCCAACATGAATTGAATGGTCCTTCGACCTTCGTTTGATTCCGACGGCCGGCATAGATCTCATGAGACCCGCCCACTATTACTACGAAAAAAGCCCTGCCCTTTTCCTTCGCTACTAGGAAAGTAAGCAACTTCTATTAGCGCCGGACCTTGAGTCGAATTGCTCGTGTCATGTGCAACGTCCATCAATGATGGTTCATTAATGTTCATTGATTTAGACTCCTTCCCCCTTCTCAACTACGAAAAAGATCGAGAGGGGCCCGAAAGCCCCCAAACCAAGAACGGAAACGGAAGCCTTTCGACTCACTTCCCATTCTCTCTTAAATAAAGAAAGCTCGCCCTCGAGCCCTGGGCCGGTCGGCCGGGTCTTTCCCTGTTGTTCTGTTCCCGCCACGAGAAAGACGCGCGGAAGAGGTATGCCCAGCGCGCCGAGGATCCGTTGAGAGTTTGTCTCGGTAGGGAACTGTACGATGTTTTACCCTATTGTATTGAATCAAAAAAGGGTCAGTGCTGCGGCCCCCTATTCTTTGATCCAATATTGACCGGGGACGAGCCCCGACTTCCATAGGTCCTTGGTTTGACCTCCCGTAGTGGTCCTTGCTTTGCTCTCTGCTGGGGCCCTCCCATTGCTCTAGCCATAAGCTATGGCAGCTCCAGCTCGCACAGGGGCCTGCCCTGCGAGGCCAGAGTGGGCTCAGCCGTCAGCCTCCATTCGAATTATCTTAGGGGTTCTTTAGCTTTTGCCAGATCTAGAGAGATACTACAAGTCCTCCGTCCCAGATTCCATCGCCGCGGCCATCTGGTTCACCGGTACTACCAAAAAGTCTCATGCTTACCTTACTCTTACTGATGGTTTGATTATCTTGGACCACGAAGACCCCAGTCGTGCTTCTGGTTTCCATTCCCATTATCATATTGATGATCAATCTCCTCGTGCTCTGCCATAAGAACTTGGAGTCCGTATCATGGTGAAGATAAGGTAAGGCTGTGATTCTTGCTAAAAAAAAAAAGACCGAACGCGTTCGAGTTATTGGCTCGTCCAACCCGGCAGCATTCATGAGTCGCTCGTTCAACTGTCCCTCGGAGACAGGGTCGAGAAGTACCATGCGCCACCCGTCCTTTCTTTCTATCGGTCCCACCCAGCAAGATACGGCTCAGCCAAAAAAGGTAAGCGCCTAGCGCGAGCCTTTTTTGATTAGTTTAATAAAGTCAAGCTTTGGCTCCCTAAAGAGTCAAGAAATGGATAAAAAAAAAGGGGGGGCTTCTGCAACGGGCTATGCCACCCAAACCAACTGAGGGAAGTCGCATCCGTCCCATCGCAAGCACCTACAATGTCATGATCACATTGGTTTACCCTTGTTTTTTTGGTAGTTTAACGGACGGTCGCCCCTCCAACAAGAAAAGGTATAAATATAGAAACTTCTCTGCCATTTGGATCGGAGAATTTATGGAGGAAATCGGGTTTTAAATTCCCAGAAACCGCACGATTATATAGCCAAAGGGAATAGGCCGCGCCTAAAATCATCCCAAGCGCTGCTAATGTCGCTACTAAGCTATTTCTTTGGAAAGCTCCTACTAAGATGAGAAATTCCCCGATAAAACTGCTAGTACCAGGTGAACTCATATTGGCCAAAGTGGAAGAGAAGAAAATGGTAGGGAGATTCGGCATGGTGCTCACTGAACCTCCGTAATATCTAACAAGTCGAGTCTTATGTCGGTCATATAGAACACCAACACATAGAAAAAGGGCTGAAGAAACCAGTCCATGACTTGACATCGGTAGAATGCTACCTCCAATTCCCTGTATGTTCGATAGAGCCAAAGATTCCCCCCACTGATCGGAGTACGCCGATTACCCCCCGAACCGTACAAGATAGTTACCACCTATCATACGGCTTTCTAACTTCACTTCTTTTTTCTGGTCGTTCCGCTCTGTCGATCGCTGGTAGTATAAGAGATCTGTAACCCCCCTAAATTATTTACATAAAGGTTCCTGCTTCCTACCCATAGTTAGCATGTATCTCCCCGGGTCATACTTGAACATCGTAGACCCCCACCCCAACTCTATCTTCCTTATCAGTGAATCGGAACATAGTGCATAGGTACTCTTCGATGCAGCGGGGACGAGACGACGTGACATACTACGATCACGTACAGAAGTGCTGCCCTTCGTCTCGGCAATATGGAACCTCTCAACAGCTCCCGTTCTTTTATGGGGTCCTATCGGGATAGGTAGGCCCAAGCCTTTCCCCTCCCTCCAGAATCCCGAGGGGGAAAGAGAAGAGAAAGAAGAAAAAAATGCTTCCTTTTTTTCTTTCATTTGAACGGCCTTATCTTGTATCGAAAGGTTTTTCGTGCTATACACCACGTTGAGAAAGACCAACCTCCTATGTACCGTACTCTTTTTCTACCTCGAAAGGGAGGTCCTCCTTATGATGCTACAGATGGCTGTCCGAAGTGCAAGGGGTAAACTCGGACTCGGATAGGATAGGATTGTGCGCGTCGGGCCCTTCGGGTGTCATATTTTGGCTGAGTTTACCGTACCTCCGGCCCCTATGTTAGGCGGCCGTAATATTTTGTTACGTTCTACCGCTCTTACGCCAGAAATAAAAGGTTCCACACGAGCTCCCGTTCTGCGGCGTGATGGCAGGACCGCTAGGGGAGTGGCTCCGGATGTAGATAGGGTGAAATCTGCAGAGGTCATGCAAATAAATAGGCCCCTTCTCTTTTCTTTTGGATGAATGGGGTGCTTTAGAAGGCGCTTTCCGATCTACGGTCCCTCGGAGCGAAGGGTTAGGCAGGTAGTATGGGCCCTCTGACTTCCAGCTATGTGCTGTGCGGCTCCCGCGAAGCGAATGAAGGGAAGCTCTTCGAGCTTACGGGTGAGCTTACGCTTACTCTCAGCCTCTTTGATTGGTAGGCGGGCGGGCTAAGCCCCCTACTTAAGATTCAATTCATAAGGCTAATTTGATCTTGTCGTGACGCTTTGGTTAGGCCGACTACTATAGGCTAGCTACTTCTAGCTTCTATAGTGGCCCTTCCACTTTGGCGTAGTTTTAGTTTGTATTGGTACTGAATGAACATATCAAACAAAGGCGATCATATCATGCCATTTTATATGTATAGAGAGATCCCCTAGATATAGAGATAGAATAGATGTTCATGGATAGACAAACATTCCATTGATTCTTAGTTTTTTTTTGGGCTGAAAAAGCTCGTCGATCCAAATGAATCATTCTTCTGGTCTCTCTTCACTCTCCGCCCCGAAACTGACCCACGGCACAGCGCCCATTCGCTTCGCGCGCGGGAAGGCAACGAAGTTCAGTTCATCAGACCGCAGCGGAGTGGAGCAGCCGCGACACGACCTTACCTTAGCTGGATCTCGCTGGTGCCACCTAAACGGTAGGTAGGCGGCGGATGTGTGACGTTTGGAGTTGTCGTTCGTGCACCTGTCCCCAATGGAAGAATGAGTGATATTTTCCCCTGCATATCATGGCCTTACCACTCGGTCCCCGATGGCCAGCGGGGGATTCGGTATAGCAGCTCACGTTCGTTTGCGCTGCGCGTTCCCGCTGGACTGGGCACATCTTAGCTGTAGGAAGTATGGTTCCGAAAGTGACTTCGGTTCGCTAGTTCAGGCTCAACTCCTCGCTTTACGTTAGCGGACTTACAGGTCGGGCCGGGGCTCTGCGCTCTTTCTTTCTGTGTGGGACGATACCGGGGAGAGAAGGGAATGCGTCGAGGCGGCGAAGAAGACAACTACATTTTGGCTTTTCCCTCCATGAGATGAGCCCAGTGCATTGGACCGATGGATAAGAGAACTGAGCTGGCCTAAAAAGAGCTTGGGCGCTCTATGTACGATGTAGACTCCATCAGATACATATCGATTTATTTTCCGCTGGATCATGAAAAGATAGTTGTCTCATCAATAATAGATAGAAATAGGGGATTTCCCCTTATTCTTGATAGATTCCCTCTCTATCTCTTTCGATCTATCAGAACAGAGTTGGCTATCTATCAATCGATTTTCAAATAGCACGTTCATTTCCGCCGCGAAAACATAGCCGCCATAATAAGAAGCAGCTAGAAGCACTCGCTTCACGCCCTTGAATTCTTATTCACGGATGAATTGGGAAAGCCAACAGAAAGATTCGATATTCGATTCTTACTTTCGTAGAGCCGGTGCTGCTGTTGCCTGCGCGTAAGGCCGCCCTCCACTCCCGTCCCGGGGCGCTAAGGGGCTTTTGTTTTTGGAACAGACGGCATTGCTGACGCCTCGAATCAAGCTTTTATTGCGACATGCTATGTTTTCTCCCCCATTGCTAGTAGGTTGATGGGTTGCACGCCCGGCACACATGTTTTGGCCTTGTGTGTCCATAACTCCAAATAGGTGACCTAACGGCCGCCGCCCGACTAAACATACCAATAGTCACCAGATTCATATGAGCTACTGAGGAGTAAGCTATGATCTTCTTAAGATCGATCTGTCTTAAAGTGGTCGAGGAAGTATATATTATAGCAATCGCGCTTGGAGTATAAATGAAAGGAGTGGAACAAAGTGTCGCTTCGGGAAACATGGGTATTGAAAATCTTAAAAACCCGTAGGTTCCCAATTTTAAAGGAATTCCTGCCAAGATGACGGATCCTGCCGTAGGTGCCTCTACATGAGCTTCGGGTAACCAAATATGAACTGGTACCATAGGCACTTTGACGGCGAAAGCGGCGAAAGAAGCAATCCATAGAAAGATTTGGCGCCGCTCACTAAATTCTGTGGTTAATGAAATTTGTAAATCGGTGGTTCCTGTTTGGAGAAGAATCAACAGAATAGCTAATAGCATAAAAACAGATCCAAGTAAAGTATAAAGGAAAAACTGATATGCTGCCTTGATCTTTCTTTGTCTCGAACCCCATACCCCTATAATAATGGTAGAGTAAGGGGTGGTCCCAAAGCGGAATTGACCGGTGGTGGTTGGTCGAAGCTCCAGTAGGTAGCCACTCCCTTCTCAGAGAACCGTACGTGAGACTTCCGCCTCATACGGCTCCGTCCCGAGCTTCCGTCGTCGGCCTTGGCATTAGACCACTATCTATGCATGTATTTTCAGCCTGGACTCTCGAATCTTTTGCTTCTCGGGTGGTGGCGAACAATGGTGCTTGCGTTGCAGTAGATGCCCGCCCGAAAGAACCGCTCACTAGCTAGCCGGACTAGTGGGGCCCTATCTGGAGACATACTGAAAACCATGCCTTTCGAACCGACGGCAAGGCCCGTCTTCCAAATCAAAAGAAAAAAGGGCTCGTTGGGAAGAAAGATGGAGTGCGGCCTGTAGAGCACATGTAAGGCACAGTCGGGTTGCTCACGCAGCGGATCTCTCTCTATCTATAGATAGAGAGAGAGGTGGGAAAGGAATAGCCTTATGTTATGGCTGCCCCTCGACTTACGGCCTTTATGCTACGACTACTGTGATGTGAGCGGTTCAAATTGGTTTGATCTTTCCCAATCATTCTGGACGGAACTTGTACGCAGCACTTGTACGGAGGTGCATGCATAAAGGTTTGGAACTCTTTTTTTATCTGAATCTTAAGTAAGGACAGGACCTTATTCTCGAACCCTCTGCCGAGCTCTACCCTGCCCGCATTTCCTTTTTTTGAAGGGGAAAAAAAATGTCTCCACCTGCTGCCAATATTCTTCGGAATTCTACTGAACGGGTCGATCCTCCCCTCCCCCGTTTGTTTTAGCAACTTATCCTAAGGTCTCCTCACCAAGAGCTCGCCGGCGACGACAGAGGAAGCAACCCGCCTGCTGTGGCGGGGCGGCTTTTTTCTTTCACAATAAGACCTGGACGATTATCCCTACCCTCGGTAGCTTACGAGTTTACGTCCATCCCTGGTCGGGTACAGTTTCCTTTCGATTTCTCCCTTGTAGCCGTTACCCGAATTCGCGCAAGTGTGTCCACACCCCCCAAACTGACTTGACGAGGAATCCATTCTCGCGAACAAACACAACCCCTACACACACCTAGGAGCACCCCTTCCTGCATATCCATACAAGACCCGAGTAGGCGGGTCGAGGTCCTACGAGGTACCCACTACTCGGAGTACCCTCCCAAAAGGAAAAAGATGTGTCTGTCAGGTTCGGTTCTTCTTAGTTGGGTTGGGCGGGTTCGACCAGAAATGCTATGCTTACACACAAGACTACCCCTCTTCCCGAAAGCTTCGCGGGGACTGCTTTACGACGACGGACGACCGCCCGTAGGGGGTTTACTGCACAAAAGGCCCCTGCAGAGGAAAAGCTTTATCCCAGCGAATAGAGGATGCTCAGCTCCGCACAACATAGGGATTGGCACACTTTCGGGAAAAACATAGAATAGTATCGAATCCAGGATACAGAACACGGCGATCATTCCACATTCACGAATTAGAGATGCTGTAATATACTCTTTCCCATAACTTCTCATACCAGACCAACCCACTAAAATGCAAATAGGGATCAGAAATGTGGTCAATATCACGCAGAATAAAGAGATACCGTCTATACCCAAATCCAAATTGATATTTTCATAAGGAAGCCATCGAAGGCTTTCCACAAATTGAGATTTGGCCGTAGAAGGATCGAATTGTATCCGAAGAGCAGGGGGATACAAAAAAGTAATAAGAGAGGCGCACAGACCAATCAATCGTATCGGTCGTATTCTTGAATTTGGAATGAAAAGAGGAGTAATGCTTCCTAGCACGGGAGAAAGAATAAGACCACTTAGATCAAAATACCATTGTTCTAACATAGAGTAGAATTGAAGATTGAAGAGATTAATTGACAACAGTCAAAAGATGGGCGCCTAATTCCAATACAATAGGGGTCTATCAGTGCAAGTCAGCTGAACACCGTGATTGATGAGTGGGTAGGTGGGTTAGGTGCACCTCTCGCCCAATGGGAAGTAATGAGGCTTGTCTCCCCCCTCCCCCCGAGGAGACAAGTACACGGCTTAAGGCCTCCCGTTCCTTTCCCAAGCGTCTATCTTCGTACATAAAGCGGCCGCCGCATTTTGACTTGATAGATCTATCAGACTACAACCAGTGTATCTCAGAACCTTAGTGTATCTCAGAATCTTAGCTTGAGCCTCCTTTATCAAAATGACCTAATATTTTTTTGAAAAAGAAAGACTTGTCCCGATTTGAGTTGATATCCTGGGCCACTTTTCTGTATATTTTCAATTCTTCTTCGTCAATTTGGCCAGAGTGCAACCCCAACCTCTCTGCATCTTCTTTTTCCAAGTCCGTTCTAGTCTCTTCGCAAAAAAGTTCAATCGCACTCTCAGGCGTTTCATATTTTTTATTTTCCATTAAGAGAGGTTCTTTTAAGACTATTTCCCGAACTAGGGTATAACACTTAGTTTTAGTTTCCCGGATCTCCAGATCTCGGTTCTCAAATTGAAGCAGTTCGTTATATTCCCGTTGAGACGAACATTTTTCTAGTTCTGTCTTTATTTCGGACCAGTACTGTCCCCTTTCCTTATCCAGGAGAAAGATGGAATTGGCATTTTCCAAACCTCTTATGCGATTTTGCATGGAGGCCTCTAAACCCAAATTGGGAGTAATGGGCCAAGGCTCCGCTATGACTTGGATCCCGAAGGAATCGTCGTCAGAGTGTGCTGGGCTGGAAGGCCCTGGAAGAGGAAGCGCTCCCGGTCCCACACTCAAAATTAGAAATGAAAGCTCACTTAGAAAAAAGTTGAATCGAGATAGTAAGTAGATCCGAAACAAACAGCCCCATATAAAGAGGAAAATGAAAATCGAAAGATAGAGAATAATCCGTATACCCTTTTATTTTATTTTTCTAGCATATATACGAAACAAAAATAGAAACCCCAAGATAAATATTCCAAATAGTACTATATTGCGACCTCTTATTATAGCGGTTCCTTCTGATCCTAGAAAACGTCCGAAAAAACCTGCTACGGAGCTCCCGACAAGGAAAAAAATGAGTTGTTTCATTTCAAATTGAAAATCAATTGAATCAATGCTTCTAGGCTGGAATCATAAATGGGTTATCTCCTCTCTGATGATCTTTTTCTGAGCTTTTGACTTGCTTGTTGTCTCTTTTGTTCTTACTCCAACGAGCGGTGACCGGCTTCAACCGGAGCCATTTCGGCCCGCGAGAGGAAGAAGCCCTGGAGCGCTGTCTTTCGGAACAAACAAAGACATCAATAACTCTCAGACTCAGATGATTATCTACGCAATTTATTTTCTATAGGTGCCGACAAGAAAAACAACACAGAAAGAGGATACCACCTTGATTGGCCGCTTTCTTGTGTCGGCTTGAATGGACAACTGGAGAAGGGAGTTCGTCTTACTATCAGCTTTCTACTAGTCTATTTCACTATAAGCCAAGTACACTAACTAGTTCCTGTATTGATTTCTGTCTTAGACTCCACACTATCGGATAGAGCAAGCCCTTGGGAAAGAGAGTCAGTTACATACGCTTAAGCAATTCCTAAACTGCTGAATTCAAGGATCATTAGGAGGTGCACATTCGGATCCCCATATCAGGAAAGCTTGGCAGACTTGAAGTTTTCTTGAGTAGGAATGTTCATTAGAAAAACGACTTTAAGTAGAATGGATGCTGGCCAATGCCAAGCTCTACAGGAGCACTCAGTAGCCCTGCTTAATAGTCACTTTTATCCGTTTTCAAATCTGAGCAAGGTCTCTCTCTTGTTCTTTCTGGTTCCTCTTGGAAGATTGAGCCTTTCTCAATCAATCTGTCAAGGTGGTATCAGAGCTTCAAACCAGACCTGGATAATCCGAAGCTGGTTGCTAGCGGAAGTAGCGCGCCAAAGAGCAAAGCGGTGTATTCACAAAGAAATGGTGTAAGCGGAAGGGTAGAAGAAGAGTGAACTGATAGAGATAGATAAATGGCTTTAAGGAGTTCTCACTTCTGGATATTGATTTCAACTCCGAGATTGATTTGTCAATCAACATCGATAAGGTTTAGGCTTGAGGTTTACGGTAGCCTTAATCTAAGAGCAGTAGGAGGTTGAATCAGAAGAGGACAAGGTTTACGTAGCCTATATAAGTCTCCCAAGTTGTCGGAATAGACAAAAGGAGCTGCAGGCCAACTCGTAATAGAATCCGATGCTTTGAGAGAAGGGTGTGAGGGAGAAGACGATCTTAGAATCGAGCATCCGAAGAAGCCAAGCTCATGCCATCAAAGGGAGGACTCTTGTTAAACCTTTCTTACTTATCGATATTCTTTACCTAACCTAAGGACTCTTTTGAGGAAAAATCGGTTGGGAAAGAAAGGCTTGCTTCAGGCATTGGATAAAGGGATGTCTGCGCCCGGATAAGCCCTTTACTCTTTGACAGGTACTTACTTTTGCCGTCGCTGGTCTTTATTTCTGGAGGCAAGGGCAAGCAAGTCACTTCATGCCTTAAAAGCATACATAGTCAATAAGATGGCATCGAATCAGCTGTGAGGGAAGGTATGAATAAAGTCAAGAACTTTTAGCTGTGACCAATAAAGGTAGGAGGAGATTGAACGCTTTCTCGATCAGCCAAGAAGTTAAATGAAAATGCCACATTGCTTAACACACTGACTTCGATTGTCTTTCCTCGGTCAAGCTCAGGGGAAGTTGAATATAGTTCTACGGAGGTCTTTACTTTTCACTACTCTGCTGCTATTGAATGCAGGCCAAGCCAATGGGATAGGAAGATTTGAAGCAACCTCTTATGCCTTGTTGTTCCTCCTACCCATCCGCGTAACATCTTCCTTCAGCTAGCCCTCCTTGTGCATCTTTCTTTTATTAGCAATGTTTCGTAGCTTTGCTCCGGGAAGGAGACTTGCCTGATCAGATGCGGGATTACCTGTTGATGCGGTAGATGAGGTCTTTGCTTTTCTTGTTAGAGAATGAGTTGTTAGCCTTACAGAATGCGCTGCACATCTATCATTTCATGACGGCTCTCCCGCTGTTGGTGGTTGAGTTGTAGTCAGGGAGGTAGGATTCAGATTAGGATATTGATTGAGTGAAGTAGGGTTCGGTGAAAGATTTCATAGAAGTAGGACATCCAATCTAAAGTCAAGTATGTCAGAACTCGTAGCCTTGTTGAAAGAGTCTCCTCTTTGTTGTCTTTCTTCCCCCCTAAGAGGAAAGCAGTCTTTTGTGTCCATTCAACGAGCACGAGACATACCGATTCGATCTTGTCTTCTTTCGCTTGGTTTCCCCAGGTGGTGCGGTTGGGGAGTACAGTAGAGAAGGCTCGGCGAGACCTCGATGCCGGGTCGTTCCAAAGTGACTTGCTATTGCTGCTGCAGTGCATCTTGTTCATCAGGAAGGAATTTCTCTAGAATCTTTGCCTTTGTATAGTATACGGGTGAATGGTTTTTATGGATATACAAAGGGTCAAACCTTTCTAAAAGACTATTGCACATCTTTCGTGAGAGAGGGATGCTAAGAACAACAGGCAATGCACTCTATCAAAACATAGCCTTTTCTCGTAACATAAACTGGAAGGCCTCCTCGAAACTAGAGGGATGCTGGCTAGGACTGGTTCAATTGGTGCTCTGTCTGGGTCAACTACTGAGCTGAATCAACAACTTACAGTTGCTTAGATGGAGCTGTATCCGCATTTCCACTGGGTCAATTGGATCTGATTCAAATGCTTCCGTCTCTGACGCTGATCCACTGGATGCTGCTTAAACTCCCTTTGCTACTTTTTTTCTAGGTCGACAACAATTCTTCTGCCTTCCTCGCTTCTGCTCTACCCGCCTCTGCCTAGGCCTTGACTGTTGAAACGATGTAGAGATGGTGGTGCCTTTGTCTCAGCTTCACATATGGCTTGACCATCCTCTTCTAGTAAGGAAGTCCTTCCCGCCCTTCCAAACCATACCCGTAACCACGACTCCCTTTGATTATCATAAGTGAATATGAGAAATGTGTGTCTTTCTCGTCAGGTCTATGTTCTTGCTTTCAATTCAATCTTTCCAATTGGGTCTAGAATGACTCTTTTTTCCCAGACAAACAAGTCACCTCTAGCTTAAGGAGTAGTCCATAGCTCAAAATCTATGGTACTAGCTTATTCCAGTCATTGGGCACAACTTCCCTTTCTGTTTACAGAGAATAGGAAGCTTCCTCTATCCCATCCATCTTCTTGGGCAAATAAGATGCTCACTCCACTACGCCACTTGCTGTGTAGTCTCCAATACGCCACTTTCAGTTCCACAGAGTGTTTCCAATCTTCTTGGGTATAGAGAGGTATCTAAGGGTGCTAGCTTCATTGCAGGGAAGCACCATATGCCGCTTCTGTACCAACGCCTGCTTCCTCCTCGTTGCAAGCAGCACCTTCAGATGCAAGAAGTGCCATGTTCGACTAATAGGGAGCTTCAGACTAAAAGGGGAGAGGCGTAAGCGGTTTATCGAGCTTTGGGGCTATGTACATACTATTTACACGAACTTCTTCGAACCAGTAACGGAGATCGGATCAATGGAATTCATTTCAATAGTGAACTATTTTGACCCCCTCATATAGCTATAGTTTTTTGAGAGAGTCTCACAAGGGTGTTTAGGAAAAGGGTGAGCTTCGCATTTTTGTGCTACCCGAAACCTACCTTCTTTCCTCAACCTACCTTCTTTCCTCGATGATTTGTTTGGATAGACTTATTTTCCCAAGCTTCCTTCTACGATTCCGAACTCTGAAACCTTCTTTAGGAGTGAAAGAACCTTTTCACCGAAAGGAGCATTCGACTTCATCAGTGCGGCTAAGCTTTGAACAAGAAAAAGTATACGATACGCGCGAGAAGAAAGAGAGTGAATTAGATAGAGTTACCTACAGAAAGCCAGACGAAGGATGAGAAGGAATGGGGTCAAAAGCCACCTGGCTAAGAAAGATCAAAGCAGAAGAACAAGTGAAAACGGCATTCGGGAGATAAGGTCAACTTTCCTTGCTTCGGAAGCAGCTACAACATGATTATGGACCTTAGATCACTAAAGGATAAGGTAGAATCTATCAAATCAAGAGAAGGCTACACTTGCGTGTTTTCGCGCTTGGTTGATGGAAGAGATGTCATCTAAGTTCCAGGTTCCGCTTAAGAAGGCGAATCCATAATGAATGCGACTGGACACAAAGAAAGGTTGGGAACTGATCTTTCTAATGGGATTGGTGACTCTGTCCCCGCTTCATTGCCTTCACAACCCACCTTCCGCTTCTCACTTATTTCCCGATAGCAGCATAGTAGCTATTTGGAAGTAATCCCTTTCGCCCTGGTACATGGCCTTGGCATGAACTCTATCCTAATCCGAAACAAAAAGTGGAAGGTTAGCTAGATTGGCCAGTTCTGACACGACCGAACAAGCCGGCGTCGATGATAGGTTGAGATTGACCCTAACCACACTCTTGAGGATACACGGAAAACCCCGCTGGTTTAGTTCGCTCCACAAGGTCCTGCTGACAAAGACGACAAGTTCTCACATACCCTGAAACCTCTTATTCCGGTCCTTAGGCTAACTACAACTAGTCAGGAATTGCATACAGAGAAGAAACGTCGTAAGTAACAATAGCGCAAAAGAGGTCAAGAGTATGATGGGATCGAATCAGCAGTGGTAGAGAGTCCTCTTCCCCCCAAGCGTCTGAAGTCACATCGTCTACACAAACGTAGTACTCGTGGAAACTTCCGCCCTAGCCGCCGCCAGATCCGGAAGAAGTTGTCGCCGCCATTGCCTATCCTCTTTGTCCAATGATTCCTTCTAAGAGGGCATTCGTGAACAAGCCCATCTCAGGCAGATAAGGGGCAATCGAATTTATAGGGGACTTTCCATTCTTTTCATAGTTGTTATCAGTCTTATCCGTAACTCTTGCTCTTGAAAATGCAATTGGGCATTCCCTTTCATAACCTATTCGTCGATTCCTAACCTTAATAGCTTATTCAAAAGGGGAATTTCTAGAGTCAGATCGGAAAATTCAAACAAAGCTGGAAGAGAGGGCGCCTCCTGCACTTGTTGCTG